CTATGTTCCTGTTCAACGTACAGAGAACAAACACAAAAATCATGCAGCCGAAAATTTAAAAAAGCAAAGTAAAAAGCAAATTCGGAATAAACTGCGGGACATTTTGCAAGTCAAAATCTGAATAAAAAATATAGTATAAAAAATACGAGTCAAAAGATGACTTTTAAATAAAGTCGAAATTTTACAGTCTCAACCTGCGTGTTGTTTCATTCATATAATTATTTTCGCTCTCAAGATGTCCTGTTTATTCGGAATTTGCCAGTTTTTGAATAAACACAAGGTAGCCAAATAGATTACTTGTGAAGTTCTGCTTCATTATTCCATTCTACTTCCTGGTTTTCATTTAATCGTTATAATAAATTATAATATAATATATGTGTGGACATGTCAAGGTGGCTGATGTGAATATTTCAATACGCGGGTGACCTGTTTGAGTGCTAAATAAAAACAAATTCACATCCGGATTATTTCTCAGAGGTTTTTTCTTAAGAGAAACTCTTAAGAGAATTAATTATCTTAAAGTAAAAATTATCGTAACGAGCTAAAGCTATATTTGATAATTATGTGCATATAAATCATATTCAATATTCCTATATCTGGCACTGAAAGCAGAATGAATATTCATCCTCTCCAATTATCCCGCTCATTTCAGCCCCGTTAGCTTGTCCAAGCTCGTTGGCGTTTTGTCTCTACTTTTAGGGCTTACGTGGTGCACATGGAGAGGACGGGTTTAATGGACCAAAGGTCAGCTGAAAAAATAAATGAAATTTTCTAAAAATATATATGCCACCTAAAGGGTTTTGTTTCCATATGTGCATTGCAATGTAATGTATATGTTTATATAATATATTAATATATATAGTCAGCCCTAAATATATATTTGATAAATTGTTATAATAATTCGGTAATATGAAAAGGTAATATATTTGCGGGTAATTCAAAAAGATGGGAAATGATGTATTTTACCTGCTCTGTTTATAGAATATATCCACGAGATATTGCATGCACCACGCCCATCGTTTTCTTCTGCGTAGCCTGGTAACGAGGCGCTCGTAGAGGGTACTTTTAAACTGATGGATGCGATTTTCTTAGTTCTTTTACCATCCAAGCATAATCAGTACAGCGTATCCAGCCTGACAATTATCCCGTTATGCTAATATTTTGGTGTTTATTGATTGTAGAAACAATAAATTTCTAAAGACATGAATAATTTTAATAACATAACAAGTATCGTGCTTTTCCTGACCTACGAAAAGCACAACGAGATTAGAGTATATATATATACTAGTTTATTGTTTCTGCATGTAGTATTTCAGTGTACGTCCCTAAACATGTAAACCTGTTGTCCGGGGTATATTGCCCAATTTGGCGCCTCCCTACACCACCCTCCTTCCCTGGTTTGCGGTCCTGGTTCTGCACAAGTGTCCAGGAAACAAAGTTCAAGGCTAAAACGAGTAACCCTTGTATTAAAGGCATATTCAATATCACGCATTTTTATAGGGTGTACGTGGTGAACCGGGAGAAACGGGAAATGATGGTGAAGTTGTAAGCTAGAATACGAATCCTTACATTCGCATTAAGTATATAATTTCGTACCGCCAACGCAGTGAACTATATTCGTATTGAACTACCAGACAATTGTCGCTCTATGTTTATGGGGCGCGCGCGAGGTTAATGATCGCTCGACAAATAAAATGCACCGACAAAAAATGCAAGACAATTGCACTGATCCACAATATACAGCTTCAAATTGCATGGCTTCAGAGACGGTAAATCTTATATAATTGTTATATAACAGATAATTCCTATAGTGATTATTTCAGTCCGAATACAAACTAGTATTCAACTTTGAAGAGGCAAACCTTTTTTAATATGTTTACCGCGGTTTCACTTGATAACGTTACTTAAATCTAGGTGACTAATTTTTTTCATGTGGCCTTTTAACGTGACGTGCAGAAGATCCGATCTTTTAAGTTTTTAACAACAAGGACTTCCAAAAAAGGACTTTAATTCTTGAAAACCTGGAGATAATTTTATTACAGCTTTCTCCTTCTTTAGAGTTTTACAAAAAGCTAACTTGCTCTTAAGTTGTAGATCTTGTGTGCATGAATTGTTTCACAACACCTGAACAAAAAGTTCATTTCAATGCATTTTTAGGGCGAACCAGGACCTGATGGACTTACACGCGAAGAGGTTAGGCATTTGCATTGGTGTTCTTGTGCAGAAAGTAAACATTTAGTTTTTTTTTATGTCTCTTCAAATTCACGAAAGAAGAAGAAGATAAAACAAAAGATAGAACTTGAAAGACCTTTAACTCCTGTCTGCCTTGGACGCAGCAGTAGAAGAACCTTACTGAAACAAAAAATGTAGCAGATTAGAGAATTTCATACAACATTTATTATAACATTTCATAATCATCCTACCACGTATTTTAGACAGAGCTAATCACGAATGCGTTGATCCATTCATTAAATGACTACCAAGTTAAAGAAAATGGTTACTACAATGACATCTATCACGTGACATCACGTGATTTGACTGATGGCAGATCAGACACGGGTGGTTGGGGAAGTGAAACGGCAAAGATTGGGAACTATCTTCAAGCTACTTATGTTCGTCCGGTGTTTGTCACATCTGTCACAGTGGCAGGAGGCTTTATACCATCTTGGCGTCATAACGTCAGACAAGGATATGGAAATTTAAACCTTGAATACTCGACTGATGGAAAAAACTGGGCAATGGTAATAATAATAACATTGACATTAACAATGTTGGCGCAGAACTTAATAACACAATGCACGAGTGCACCCTGCCTCATACAGGTCGCCCAAGACAACCCAGCAGCAACATGAACGAACATGACTTGTTCACGCAACGGGCAGCATCATCGCTTGAATTTTATATCAATGTATACCCTATTAACATTTACCAATTAAAGTGGTTGTATGACACTTGTTTAAAACTTTTCCGCTTTAGTGTGCCACTTTTCCTTCGCCAGTGATGGAGAAGTTGGTGACAGTTAATTTCGATCCTTTGGTAGCTCAATATTGGCGCCTGATATTAACAGAAGATAAATGGGTTGGAACAACTGAGTTTGCGTTGAAACCTTTGTTGAAAATATGAACTTTGGGATTGCGTTTGAATCAGTGTTTTTTTTTAAATGATTTCAATGTTAGTCGTAGCTATATATTATAGAATACTCCATCTATACAGGGTAAATAAAAAAAGAAAACCTTTATAAATTAAACTTTTGTTATAATTTAAATGATCCGTCACTACGCCGAGCCCTTGGATGCGTAAGATATTGTCAGCTTTGTGCATAATCATATTGCATATCTTTTTATCACAAGCACAAAGCCTTTCTGCGTCAAGAAATTTCCATTTAATCTTTACGATCGCTTCAGTGATTACGATTGCTGAAAAAATTTACGTGCGACCGTAGCCATTAAACGGAAATCAATTAGCTAGCGATCCCAGCGACCACGACGATCGCAATGATCGTAAAGATCGCGTGATCGCGGAGATAGAAAACGTTCTATCTCAGCGATCATGATCGTTACGATCATATAATGATTGAATGGGAACGTAATCATGGGAACCAGCCTTAAAAGCAAAATTCTGCACAATAATGCGTGGCAAAGAAAGGTTTTTATCGTCCAGACTTATATCGAGACGTAAAAAATACGTACACACAAGCAGACACGTTTTGAGTAAGGTTCTTGATCGAAATTCATCAGTCAAAAGCACAACCTTGAACAACACCGGTGCGAAATTAATGAGCAGTATTAATTCGTGGCATGCACTTGTGGGCTTCGAAAATTGATGAGGCATTTAATTTATAACAATAGTTTGATTTATAAGGACTTCTTTTTTTATACACCCTGTATATAGCACTGGCACTTAAATAATCCTATTAACGGAGATAAAAAGTCGTATCATTCAGATTGAGATTAAATGGGTATAAAATAAAAGATGGCATGCAAATTAAATTGTGCCGGTGAAACTAATGGAATTGATTTCCGGTAGGCATATAAATAACAACCCTAAGGCCCGGCGCACACGTGAGCAATTAGCTGAGCAAATGACTACGCGTGCCGTTATCTTAGCTGATTACTCACGTGTGCGGACGGTTTTTGCTGCGAAATATGACACGCGTGATCGTGAGGAAAATTTCTATCGTGTTTGATTTTTTGTCCACGCGTGGAAAAAATCTCAACGTTTGCGGATGTTTTTCAGCTAAATGCTGAGCACTGAATATGCATTAGCCAATAAGAATATTTATTATATGACTAGTGTTTGTTTTGTAAATCCTGCAATTTGATTGGCTGCTGACAAGGCGGGATTTTCCCATATTGCCCACGGGCAATACGCTCAATTTTTATTGACCAGATGTAATGGAAATGAATTATTATTCGTGTTTATGGTTTTCCCAAATTAGGTCATATAATAAATAACTTACTGACTTCGATTGTTCGGTCTGTACGGTAAAATATCAAACCTCGGTCGTGCCGTACTGACCTCGCTATCGCTCGGTCAATACGGCACGACCTCGGTTTGATATTTTACCGTACAGACCTCACTCTCAGTCAGTAAGTTCTTAGTATTTTCCTCACGTGGCAATGAAAATATGGCAGCTGAAGCTATTGCAGAAGAAAAGTTGGTCGAGTTGTGCCTCCAATCATGCTTAGAACTTATTTAAAAGAATTTACATCCAAGCGGTGATATCGCCTGAATGACCCTGGATCTTCACCCTCTAGTTCTCGAAGAAGATTGGCATAAACACAATGTCCTCGGCGTTTCTGTAACCATGGTTTGGTCCATGTTAGTAGGTATTTGTATGTCAATATTACCATTAGACTAATGTTGATTTTAAAGATTCGTTTTCTATGTACTATGTTTTGTGATACAGTTCAGTTTATATACGTTAACCTTGACTTTATCGTCCTCATATCATATGTGAACATGTCATTGACATACAAATAATTTCCATACATCAATTTTCATATTATCGAGTTACTCAAAGTGTTTTGCCCAAGATTACAATAATAATGACTTATAGAAATTATGCATGTATTGTTGAATTATGTAAATTACGCCTATATAAACCAAAAAACAACCACGCCTAGTTAGATTCAAATGAACTTCATCGAAGGAACTAGGAGTAACTATAAAGTAAGTTATATTTTAACGTGTATATTATATTTGTATTTCAAGCTCAATTTCTTGTATCTATAACAATTTTGATACTTATATGTAATTTATTTTCTATTTAGTTTGACTATATGTGTATATATGTATAATAAACATCACGAAATCGTATAGTACAAGTAAATGCTCCTGGTTAGCCGAAGTTGTTCTGGCTCCGGATAAAACCGCCAATACGTGCCAAACAGTCAAATTTATATCTGGAGAAGTAATCTGATAACAGTAGAAGAAGAACGGAAGACTACTAGAGAGTCAAGCTCACGAAATCGTAAGATACGCTATATCGGCAACACAGCCTCAGACGTAAAGCTTATCTGGACTGATTGAAAGCATCTCCTAGCAGTATTATCGAAAACATTCTTCCTACATACAGAGGAACTATTAATGAAGGTAGGAGAAAACCAGTTTATTAATATACGTACAAAAGTACTGTAGAAGATCAAAAGTATGGTCAACCAAGCAAAGTTCGAACAATTTGAAGGAATGCGTAATTAGACATTTCACTTACAAGCATTCAAATCACAAAATTTACATAAACGATAAACAAGGATATTAACGGATTAAGTAAAGAAATGCCGCCTAAGATAGACGTGTCGTTGTTATCAGCAGAGCGGGACAATATGGTTAATTCCCTATATATGAATTATTTGAAGAATTTCAAGTACTTTACACGGTGGAAGCGGAATTTTCAACGTTAGAAAATGTGTACAAACGAATTGAAACGAAATATAGACTCGTGAGACAACAACAAGAAGTAATTATTGATAAAATAGTAGAAGGCAAAGTAAGCGATTCCGGTGAAGCGGAAAATTTACTCGAAAGTAATAAGAAAATTGGTGCTCAAATAAAGACTAACTATTTAAATTGTACTAAAAGTTTCGCTGAATATCAAAAGAGGTGCTCTTTGAATAAGTCAGAAGATAAACCAGACAGTATTGCGACTTTGACATTCGCTGTAACCAAAATGGCAGAGGCGCTTACTTCAACAAAAATCGATAAAACAAATTCTTTAGAAAAACTCTCAGTCCCGGTATGGGACGGCAAACGAAAATCTTATTTGACATGGAAACATGAATTTAAACATTGGATGGAAAAATGTAGACAAGACGAAGAAGAGCAGTTAAAGAGATTTTGCAAAGCTTTACCAAAATATTCTTTTTGGACCGACCAAGTAAAATATTGCAAATCGGTAGAAAAAGCATTTGAAATTCTAGATAAAGAATTTGCAGACAAAAGAAAACTTATAGATGATTTATTAAACGAAATAATCTCCTATAAGCAAGTAAAAGGCGATTCAGCCTCACTTTCACGTTATGCTACTAAAATTATGAGCTTTACAAATGACATGGAAGAAAACGGATGCCCGGTAACAGATTCAAACGAAGCTCCATTTATTATGTCACAATTTCTGTCTAAATTAGAGTCAAAAGATAACGCTGACTTCGGTCGTGATATGATTCGGGAAGAAAAAGAAGAAAATATAACAAATCTTATTGAATGGTTATATAGAGAAGCAAATTTAAGATCGAGAGGAAAGCGGTTTAATGCTAATGATAGTAGTAATCAATCTATTAGTCATAAACCAACAAAAATTAACGCTGTTAACAGTTCCTATAATAAGAAAATTGAAAGTGCTCCTAAAAATAACTCCGAAAATAGTAACAATGCGAAAACTAAACAGACTGAAGAGGAGTCATGCCCATTAAATTGTCAAAGCGACCATTACCTCTCGGAATGTCCTGTTTATCAAAATTTAAGCGTTAATGAACGATGGGAAGTTGTTAAGCAGAATAATCGCTGTCGAAAATGTCTAATGACCCATCACACAAATACGTGTAAAAAAGCAGACGGGACAACATGCAAACAATGTACTAAACCTCATCATTATTCATTGCACAATTATCGAAGAAATCCCGAATCCGTGAAGTTAAATCAACACTTTAATCCATTGACATCTGAAATTAATATAGAAAGGTCACCAAAATCTACACTAGAGACACAAAATGGCAATGTTCAAGAGAACAACAAAATAAAAGGAATATGTCCTGTACAAAAAATTAGAGTAAGAAATAAAGATGGAGAATTTGTTGAGATTTTGGCAATGATAGATAGTGGACCTAACGTAAGTTTGATGTCGAAAGCTACAGTAAAACGACTTGGTTTAGAAGGACCTGAACTTCACATGACTATGAACTTAGCTGGAGGTAAACAAAAGTCTGAAAAGTCACGACAAATCGAAATATCTGTGGCACCAATTAATGATGATCAAATAATAAAAACTTTGCATGTACTTACCGTTCAGAAACCCTGTAGTGCCGCAAAGACCATATCAAAAACTGCGGTAAAAAATTATCCTCATTTAGAGAGTATCGTTGACAAATTACACCTCAATGGTGGATTGATCGATTTACTAATTGGTACAGATTTCCCGGCAGCCTTTATTGACGTTCATATTAAACAAAGTGAGCTGGGCTGACCAATCGCTAAACGAAATTGCTTTGGTTGGTATGTTCTCGGTGTCGTCGACAGCGAAAACAATGACAACGTGTCAAGAACGGTTTCAGTCGAAGTTGGTACCATAAGTGCAGAAGAAGATATAAAGAAGTTGCTTACTCAGGATCTACTTAGTGTAAAACCTACCAGAATGTGTACATGTACGGACGAAATGTCGAAAGAGAATAAGTTCATTAAGTCCCTGGCAAACTCAACGAAGATAATCGATGGACGAGTTGAAGTCAAGATGCCATGGAAAGAAAGTCGACCACCACGTCAAAGCAACTACAACATCGCCTATCGAAGAATGCTTTCATCCGAGAAAACATTTAAAAATAAAAAGTGCTTCAAAGAAATCGAAACAGAAGTACAGAAGTTAATAGAACAAGCCTTCGTCGTTGAAGTGCCAATTGATCAAGTCGACCACAGTAAACCTGAATGGTACCTCCCGATGCAGGCAGTATTTACACCGGAACGTTCAACTAAGATACGTTTAGTTTTCGACGCTTCCGCAAAAGGTCCAGACAACAAATCCCTAAACGATTATCTAGAAAAAGGTCCAAACTATATTAATAATATTCAAGATGTCTTGTTGGGTGGAGATGGGACCATGTTGGATACTGCGGCGACTTACGTAAGATGTTTAATCAAATTAGGATACATCCCGAAGACCAGATATACCACCGATTCTTGTTTCGACGAAATGAAGACGAAGATCCTAAGATTTTTCAATGGCTACGGTTAAATTTTGGAGACAAACCCGCACCGGACATTGCTACAGGATCTATTAAGGTATTAGCTAAAGCCTGCCAAGAAGATTTATCCGAAGCCTCCAGACAACTGCAAGACAACGTTTATGTTGATGATATCGGTGGCTCAGCCCCAACTCCCGAAAAAACCCAAAAGATTATTACGGATATCGACACCATCCTAAACACGGGGAATTTCCAGGTCAAATCGTGGAATTCTAATCACAAGGAAGTTGACAAGTCAAAAGAAAAATGCACTACCTTCCTCGGATATAAGTGGAATAAAGAAATTGATGTATTCACATTCAAGAAAGAGCTCGATATTAGACCAGAGAAAACATTCACTAAACGAAGATGTCTATCCCTTGTATCGCAACTTTGGGATCCTCTCGGACTGGTCTTGCCTGTGATGATAAAGTTTAGAGTGGATCTCCAAGATCTATCGGCATCAGGCTTTTCGTGGGATGAAGACCTACCAGATGCTGTCCAAAATAAATGGATCGACAATTTCCAAGTATTGAACGAAATCCCTAATATACAATTTAATCGAAAGCTCAAGCCAGATAATGCAGTCGACAAGCCCGAAATACACGGATTCTGCGACGCAGGAGAATTAGCGTATGGAGCAGTAATTTTCCTTAAATGGAAATGTGAAGACGGTAGTTACAGTTTTATTCCCATTATGGTCAAGGCATTCGTGGCTCCGCTTAGAAAAAAGTTTATTCCAAGATTAGAATTACTTGGATGTCTAGTTCTAACCCGTATTTACGCAGCATGTGTTCAAGCGTTGAAATTCGCTAATGCAAAAGATTGGAATTATGTACTCTGGACTGATTCACAAACCGTCCTCTCTTGGATCAAGACACCGGCAAGGAAATTCAAACCGTTTGTATCAGTAAGAGTGGCTGAAATTCAAGAAAGTGTAAATGTTGGAAATTTCAGATATGTTAAATCGAAAGACAATCCTGCAGACGCTCTTAGTAAAGGCATTTCCATACACGAATTGAATAATTGGATGGCTGGTCCACAATTCTTAATTGGTTCCGAGGTAATTGATAATTCAAGGCAAGACCCAAGCGAAAGCAACGAAGAAACGGACGTTGAATATAAGAGTAAATTCAAGAGCGAATTGAGAGAAAGTGAAGAAACAACGAGTGAAAGTTGTAATACCGTTGAAGTCCTAAACGATGCTTTATTCAAACGATTACTAGATAATTGTTCATCATTTTCTAAAATACGAAGAACGATGGCCTACGTTCTCCGATTTATTCGCATTTTGCGAAACAAAGTCAAAGAAACAAATCCTATTTCTTGGAATGAACTGAAAGTAGCAGAAAATCTGTTGTTTAAGTGGTGTCAACAAGAAGTGGATATTAGAAAATTCCCTATCCAAAAATTAAAGCCGAATTTCGATGAAGAAGGCTTATTGCGTGCACATGGGAGATTAGAGAATATTCGATCACTTCCGCAAGAAATGTGCAAACCAATTGTCCTTCCACGCGATCATCCTCTAGTTGTTCTGCTATTACGCCATTTACACGAACAAAAATGTCATTGTGGATATAAAAGCCTTGTACACGAAGCACGAAAGAAGTATTGGATTATTGGAATACGGAACGCCGCAAAGAAACTCACGAACAAATGTATCACGTGCAAGAAATTACGAAGCAAACCACTGGAACAGATAGAGGGACAACTCCGAAGTCTTCGCGTAGCTATGGGATTACCCGCGTTTACAATTACAGCCATGGATATGTTCGGTCCAATTCAGATTAGGATGAATCGTAAAACATGTAAAGAAGCGCAAGTAATAATTTTCACGTGTATGACAATGAGAGCCATACACTTGGAACTTGTGATGGATAGAAGCACCGAGACATTTCTAATGGCATTTAGAAGATTTGCCTGTACTTATGGACATCCTAATGTCTGTTGGTCTGACCGTGGTACAAATTTCGTGGGAGCCAAAGCTTACCTTAAAGAAGTTACGTCAAGTTGGGATACTTCCAAAATCCAAAAGGTTCTTGCAGAAGAATTCAGTTGTGATTTTAGATGGGAATTTAACATCCCAAAGGCAAGTCATCAAAATGGAGTGTTAGAAAGCCTGATCAAATCAGTACGTCATGCAATGAATGCGACATGTAAAAATCAAGCACATACTGAAGAGCAATGGCATACCATCCTAAAGGAAATTACTTACCTGGTCAATAGTCGACCGTTATACCCAAGCTCGGAAGATATATTTAATGATCCTCCAATTACACCCAATGACCTTATTATTGGCCAACATAATTCATTACCAATCCCAGAAGAAGAAAGCCAAGTCAATCCAAGGAATCAAGGAAGATTCACGAATTTTGGAAAGCCTGGATGAAGTATTTTGCGCCAAATTTATTGCCAAGAAATAAATGGTTTCATAGAAGAGAAAATTTGAAGGCCGGAGATTTGGTTTTGGAACTTGATTCAACACCAAGAATGCAATGGAAAATGGCAATCGTTGTTAATACTTATCGTGGAAAAGACAACATGGTAAGAAAAGTCCAAATTAAAACGGCAAAAGGATGTTATGAACGTCCAATTCATAAACTTTGTTTAATTGCCACGAAAGAAGAAATAGAACGATAAATTAAACTTATAGTTAGACAATTTACTAAATAACATTTTAGAAGAAATCAACAAAAAAAAAGTTAGTCATCACCTCCTAACTGGAGGGGGGTGTTTTGCCCAAGATTACAATAATAATGACTTATAGAAATTATGCATGTATTGTTGAATTATGTAAATTACGCCTATATAAACCAAAAAACAACCACGCCTAGTTAGATTCAAATGAACTTCATCGAAGGAACTAGGAGTAACTATAAAGTAAGTTATATTTTAACGTGTATATTATATTTTTATTTCAAGCTCAATTTCTTGTATCTATAACAATTTTGATACTTATATGTAATTTATTTTCTATTTAGTTTGACTATATGTGTATATATGTATAATAAACATCACGAAATCGTATAGTACAAGTAAATGCTCCTGGTTAGCCGAAGTTGTTCTGGCTCCGGATAAAACCGCCAATACGTGCAAAACACAAAGTGTACTTGCATGGAATATGAGGTGGAATATCGGTTACAAATTTTGTGCGATGAGCAGATGAGTACCTGCTCGTAACTGCTCATGAGCAGATGCTAATCTGCTCAATGAGATATTTCATACCCACTTGAAATTTTTTTGATAAAATGAAAATGTAAAGAAAATTTCAGACATGGATTAACGATTTTAACATTTATTTGTCTTGCAATTAGTTACAGCAATAAATAATAATTTCCCCTTCTAATTATCATCATCGTCATAATTTTCACTGTCTTTATTTTCCTCGTCATCTTCAATCTCGTGGTCGCTTAAAAGCCTTTTAATAAGAAACTTTCTCTTATCAACTGCAGCTTCTATTGCTTCTTCTGGGTGAAAATCATAATTTTGAATAAACGCATCTTTCGTATGCATTATTTTCCTATGTACCAGTACATCTTTCTTTAGTTGTCTTATTCACAAAAGGCGCTCTAAATAGATATTTTCTAATTCTTTCTGGAGTCTAGGTATAATACTCAAGTAAGCTTTCTCTTTTGCAGATTGCTCGTCGAAACCTCTGTTTATGAGGCGTTCTTTCATTTCCTCGAAAGCTGTGTTACTTCTTTGTTTTGCTTCTTCTATTAGTGGTATCCAGGGATCCATTTCTTCTCCAGTCGAACTTCGTGACTGCTGAGTAGAAGTTGTTGAGACATCGTCACGGAAATCTCTTTCTGGACTGTCCGAGTCTGTTTGAGACATGTTTTTTTCTTTTTCTCGTAATGGAAAGTATTCCCGTTCGTGTCTACGCTGATTGTAACCGCGATTAAAGTATCTTCCGCAAAATTGGCAGCTCATTCCCTTAGCACTGGAGGTGTGAAAATGACTTAGTTTTATGAGCAGATGAGCATGTGCTCATGAGCAGTTATGAGCATGTGCTCATCTAACCTGTGCCCCAGTTCATTAAAATTTTTCGAGCCCAATATAATATGAACAAAATCTTGGTGTTATGGGCAACGCGTTGCTTGGAGCATAAATAAAGACACGGATTAACGCTTGTAACAATATAATTAAGTAGAACAAATTTACAAATATCTTAAACATATCGTCCGGGCAAGGTTTTTCCCATTTCAAATTAAAGGTGGAAAATCGGTTACAAATTTTATGCGATGAGCAGATGAGCACATGCTCATAACTGCTCATGAGCACATGCTCATCTGCTCATCGCAAAAAAATTGCAACTGACATTATTTTTTAAATTGAACAATGTAAATTATATTATATTAGGCCTGAAAAATTTTAATGAATTGGGTGCCATATTATGCGTTGAGCAGATGAGCACATGCTCATAACTGCTCATAAGCACATACTCATCTGCTCAAAAAACTGCATTACTGCTCGATAACAAGGCATTTGCACGCCTCCAGTGCTAAGGGAATGAGCTGCCAATTTTGCGGAAGATACCTTAATCGCGGTTACAATCAGCGTAGACACGAACGGGAATACTTTCCATTACGAGAACGAGAAAAAAGCATGTCTCAAACAGACTCGGACAGTCCAGAAAGAGATTTCCGTGACGATGTCTCAACGACTGACCCAGAATCTGGAGAAGAAATGGATCCCTTGATACCACTAATAGAAGAAGCAAAACAAAGAAGTAACACAGCTTTCGAGGAAATGAAAGAACGCCTCATAAACAGAGGTTTCGACCAGCAATCTGCAAAACGCAAAACAGAAAGCTTTAGAAATATCTATTTAGAGCGCCTTTTGTGGATAAGACAACTAAAGAAAGATGTACTGGTACATAGGAAAATAATGCATACTAAGATGCGTTTATTCAAAATTATGATTTTGACCAAGAAGAAGCAATAGAAGCTGCAGTTGATAAGAGAAAGTTTCTTATTAAAAGGCTTTTAAGCGACCACGAGATTGAAGATGACGAGAAAAATAAAGACAGTGAAGATTATGACGATGATGGTAATTAGACTTTAAATTTAATCCAATGGCAAAAGTTTACCGAACATTTCTTAATGAGTCACACAATCGCCTGTATTCTAAAAGCTCACTCACACTCAAACTCATTGAGTGAGAGATCTTAATCTTCTTATAACGTTTGAATGGCGGTATTTCCAGCCGAATAGGAGCTTGATTTTCAGTGATTTACCTTATATCTTTCCATCTATTCAGAGAAAACTTTCTCATTGATCAGCATTAACAAAATTTATATGTCACACTCAATGAGTGTGAGTGTGAGTGAGCTTTTTGAATACGGGCGAATGAGTCTGGGTTTTTGTCGAGGGTCGAGGGTCCGAAGTCGAGGGTCGAGGGTCCGAAGTCGAGGTCGAGGGTCGACATATTGCGTTAAAAAGGCTTTGCGCGTAATAATGAAACTTATAATGAATTATCTTCATTGCTACTGTATTATCTAAATGTGCGTTGAATCATTTTAGTGAAAAACACATCGTAATTTTAATGAATGATAAGATTAATATTGCAAAGATATCGCTTCGTTTAAACCCTTTAAACGAAGGCTTGAATTAGCTGACCGACCGAGAGACTCAGGATCATATGGATTACTATAAATACCTTTACTTTTATTACTGTGTATACACGTCCTGTCGTGGAAATTAAGTGTCAGTATAGATTCAATCAGTGAAAGTGATAGCGATATCGATGAAAGGAAAAATGTCCGAGCACCAAGGAAAATTGACGTTAATTTGTGGGCAGATGTGAAAAGGAAACGTGTCGAGCAGTTGCCTGATGACATCGATGGTCTGTCCGTGTTTGAAATCAAAGGTCTCTCAACAAAAATGAAAATGGTATCCGCGTTGAGAGGTGGTAGAAAGTGGAAGAAAATCTGCCCGACAAATTGGTGTGGACACTCCCGCGTACGATACGCAGACTGTAAAGGCTCGTACAAATGTGTAGAAGCAACATGTCCTTTCAAAGTAGAATATGGGGTGGTGAACACAACACAGTTTAATCATAAAAACGGTTTGGCTAATTGTCGAGTGTGTGGTCACGTTGCAAGTTTCAACCCGTGCTCTGCTCGGAGATACTTAAGTTATGGAAAAACTTCTGTCATTGTTTTTCACTACGGTGAACATACTTGTCCAGTGATTAAATCGCGACCTCTGGAAAACCCTACTATTATAAAAATGTTAAAGGATAATCCAAAAATAAAGCCCGCTGAAGTACAATCTGCATGCATAATTTCTGCAGTTCGTCAGATGTGTGATTGGAAGGAAGTGGAGAGTCAAGCAGAAGTGACTCTGGATTGCTAATGAAAACTGAAAAAAAAAATAAAAAACAAGTGGAGCCAGTAGGGCACAACTTTGAAGCCGTTGTGACATTTAAAGAATATTGCGACAAAAGGGATAACTTTTATGTCTACAAGGTAAATGATAAGCGCGGAAATCCTGACAAACCTTCCTTCGTTTTTAAAACCAGCAAAGAAAAGGCAAACATGGCTCTGGCTATGGATAGGGATGGAGAACATTTCTTGAACGAAGAATATTGCTTCTTTGATGGCCAGCACAAGCGTTGTCGCGGTTTCGTAACTCTAACAGCCAGTGTGTACAATCCCCTTTCGCGCAAGCAGGTCAGTCTCGCGGTGATGGAAGCGGAGAACGAGGACACACAAAATATTGCATTGTTTTGGAACTTGTTCAATGAAGTTTTGAGAAAGGTATCGAGGAATAACAACGCGCGGTTTAATCCTACAGGCTGGTGCACTGACATGGCAGGCGCAAATCTTGCAGGGCTATCGGAAGTTTATGGCAATGACGTGAGACAACGCATAAAATCCTGTGAATTTCACTTTAAAGACCACAGGAACAAAAATCCAAGAAAGCTAAGACCCGAGGACGCAGAGGAATTTAAGCCGTTGTGCGAAGAGCTTTTGGAGGCTGCGACCGAGGCACAATACAACAAAACAAAAATGCGATTGGATTCTTTCATCTCTGGCAAAGAGGAACACAAATTTTTAGCAACCTGGTTAGCCTGGTGGCACGACAGGAGAGGATTTATATTTCGTGCATTTGCCCCGAAAGGTGCTCCATTTATGAATCAAGCTGAAGTGATCCATGCTGGCTGGTCCAACAGGGGCATATCAGATAATATGTCACTCCTTGAAGCGTGCCTAGCAGACGTTGGAGACGCTGTGCAGCTAGATGTAGAGATAAAGGCTTTTGCTGCAGGTACAGCAATAGGAGGTAGCGGACCATCGTACATGGAAAGAAAGCAAAAGACATATACAAGAGAAATAGATCTAGCCAAACAGTTTGGTTCGAAAATGATCTGCAATCGGAATGTATATGACGGTCGAAAAGTGGACCCAAATTCGTCCTTTAAACCTAATGAAAAACGGAAATCAGGCAAGAACCCTCCGTCAAAGAATAGGAAAAGAAAAAAAACTGTTACAACAACGGAACTAGTAGAGAACACGAGCACTAGGGTTCCAATAAATTCACCTTTAATCGGAGAGAGGCCCTGTTCTTCAACTACTGAGGTCGAGAGGATTAACAGTGTTTTTGAAGCAACAAAAATTCAGCAGATACGCAGTTACACGACACCAGTTCAACATACTTCTTTTCCAAACAACGCTTCGGGCATTACAGATAATGCTATGAACACTACATTCGGCCAACCTGCCCACCAGGCAATCTTTTCGCATATAATTACACTCGTGCACTAAGACATCACGAACCGGCTGTACCGCTACTTGGCATGCAGCAGCTCAGCGGCGCTCATTCGACGATGACCAGTCCACGCGCACCCACAGCACCTCTTTCCACACCTCATTACCAGAATCAGTGGCATTCCGGTATGTCACCCCATCCTTATGAGATCTGTACTTTTCCCAACAACGTGAGGAAATGCTACGGGTGCGGAAGTGAGTTCACGAAGAAATATAAAAACCCCCCGTTTAACTTGATTGTGAAACACGTCGACAAACGAGTTATTAGAAAATGTGCCCAAACAGGACAGTTAGTGTATAGTCACGACTTTAGTAATACATATTACCATCTAGCGGCACTACACATTGTGCGGAAAAATCCATTGTTCAATGGATTTGCTTTTATATCTCGAGAACTTTTGTCTTCACTCGATGCTCGGGAACGAGAGATTTTATCCGAATGCGATATAAAAATAGTTCCTAAATAAGTTCCAGTACATCATAAATATCTATATAGTTTTAGCCATTTTTAGGTTAATAACTAGTTCTCAAGATATTGCGTTTAAACGCTTTTTCGGGCGAATTCACAAGCAAAATCTTGTTTTAATGTATACGTTTAAGGGTAAACACCACGTAAGTTTATTACTGTAATTTTTAAGTGCATCCACCCGAGCTTGTGCTTTATGGTTACGGTTGTGAATTGCAACTTTGATAGTAAAAAGTTTACTTCTAAACTACTATATACTAGCATTGATTTAGTTATTAGGGCGGACCAAATCTCTGTAGTAATAAGTTTACGTCGTGTTTACCTTATTTGTTTGTTTGGTGTAACTTTTTTGTGTTTACGAATTACGATGTTATTACAATGAACGCACGTTTAGATAATACAGTAGCAATGGAGATAATTCATCATAAGTTTCATTAAAGCCTTTTTAACGCAATATGTCGACCCTCGACCTCGACCTCGACTTCGGACCCTCGACTTCGACTTCGGACCCTCGACCCTCGACTTAGGACCCTCGACCCTCGACAAAAACCCAAACTCATTAGTGCTATACTGCAAGGAAATTTTCGACCCCTTTTTTATTGGCTCAATTTAAAGTGCTCACTTTCCTGATTTCATTTCTGAAAACAGAATCAAAATTGGCTTTCTCAAAACATTTTTATAGCCTTCCAAAGTCGCGATTTTTGGAACTTCCTTTGCTCCGCCATATTGTGGTTTGTGACGTAGAAAAGAGTACCGATTCTTAGCATGGCGTAAAAATACTAGTGTTAAGTAGCCTTGTCGAAGAAGCTGTGTTTCGTACAGTCCCTACTAAGCCAGTATTCATCAAAATTATTAAATATCTATACATATGTTCCTAAAGAAAAGATGGATCGCCAAAGTCGAAGAAAATATTGAATTTTGTCCCGACTTTCTGTCTCATGGTGCGGTTCTTTGCGCGGCTAAGTCGATTTCAAAGATTCGTATATGACTCTTGTTTAGCAAGATCCCTTAAATAAAATAATATTGAAAGAAGATTCAGTGCATACATTTGATGTCTGAAGAATCGTAGCAAAAGTTGAAAGCTAACAGATATATAGGCAAAGGCTGATTTTATCATCAATGCGAAGATACTTCGCGCGCACATGCATTCATGATGAATTATAGTGATGTTGGCCTTGGTGTCTTAATGTGCACGGCCAGTGTCGTTTCTTAAGACATTGAAGTTCAATTTAAATCCGCAAGGATGGGGTTTCTTGAGTATTTATGTAGATAAACGGACCTGTGTTAGTGTGTGTTTGATATATTTCGATACGCGCTATTGCAAAACAGTGGCAATGTGGCATTTACAATAGTGCAGTATCATATTACTGTTTATGATTTGCGGGAATATATCGCATAGCATACACCAATATTATCAGTAACAAGGACATCATATCATTGCCTTCGTCTTCTTTTACTGAAAGGCTAAGCCGTTTTTTTAAGTTCTTCAAGATCGTCTTACATAGGACAATGTGGCATAAAGGACTATGCGGCACAACATATACATGCTTATATATGGCATATATTACTACATTATATCCCTGTCAGACGGGCTAAGACTAATTTGAATTTTCTAACAAATTGGCGTATAATTTCAGACCCTTTACCAAGCATTCCTTGAATATATGTTAGGTAAAAGAATTAACTTCCATTTCAAAATAAAATGATTTGGTTCTCCGCGTTAAGCTCGAAAATTCGAAGCAGACAACACCCAAGCTATATATATTACCATAAGCGTCGAAACATCGGTACTCGTTATGACGTCACATCAGCAAACATGGCGGCTATAAAAGTTCGCATTTGATACCGAGGTTTGAGGGCAAAATTAGTAAACTTCTACTTAACACACAAAAGTCATATATACATCAAATTGTTTCTAAAAGACGGAATATTTGTTAAGGCTAATAAAAATGGGGTCGAAAATTTCGTTGCAGGAAACCATGGCAAACGAGCAAAAAAATAATAAAACGTTTTAGGGGAAATTATTATTTATTGCTGTAACTAATTGCAAGACAAATAAATGTTAAAATCGTTGATCCATGTCTGAAATTTTCTTTACATTTTAATTTTATCAAAAAAAAATTCAAGTGGGTATGCCTCTCATTGAGCAGATGAACATCTGCTCATGAGCAGTTACGAGCAGGTACTCATCTGCTCATCGCACAAAATTTGTAACCGATATTTCACCTCATATTCCATGCAAGTACACTTTGAGTAACTCGATAATATGAAAATTGATGTATGAAAATGATTTGTGTGTCAATGACATGTTGGCATATGATATGAGGACGATAAAATCAAGGTTAACGTATATAAACTGAACTGTATCACAAAACATAGTACATAGAAAACGAATCTTTAAAATGAACATTAGTCTAATGGTAATATTGACATACAAATGTGTAACCCTAGTAAAATAAAATATACTCTTCGCAAATTCTTACTGTGTGATAAATAATATAAACTGGCATTTGTGTAATTTGAGTAAATTGTTGTCGAACAAACAGGTGAACGTGCGTATTTACGCTATGATGCGTATTTACGCTTCATTGTTTACCCCATTCCTCGCGCCCGCGCACCATTCTACTCGCGCGTGGAGACCACGCACATCTTCTGGAAAATCCGACAGTTTCCGACGGCTCGCGTGGGATCCACGCGTTGCGCGTTCTCCTCGCTATATGGGGGGGGGGCTACCTACTCATGTTGTTCTGCATGCAACTCTTAAATGGCGGCGACGACGCCGCATCAATAAATTAAAAGAAAGGCAATTCAACGGAGATTTATGTTTGCTGCCATTTTGAAATTAGCACGAAGTAAACTATCTACTTGGTATTTTAGCTCAGCTAATTGCTCTCGTGTGCGGCGAACTGCGACAAACGTAGATAGCTAAGATAACGGCACTAGTGGTCATTTGCTCAGCTAATAGCTCACGTGTGCGCTGGGCCGCGTTCATATATAATGCATTCATGCAAATTACCGTATTAGATTTTCACAGTTTTATCAGTCTTAGGGCATGTTTACATGGAGCGAGTTATCCCCGCTAGGCGAGGTAAAAAGCGCATCACATCAAAGACTTAACCTGATTAGTCTTTCATTACATGCAGTTTTCACCTCGCCTAGCCGGGATAACTGGCTCAATTTAACCGGCTGTAAGTGCGCAAAAAGATCTCTGGTAATTATCGCAAGTCGCATCGGTAATTAATCAATCAATCAATCAATCAAAACTTTATTTAAGCACGGTAAAATCTACAGTATAAAAAGTGGGCTATAATTATATACATTCATTAGATATTTAGGGACAAAATTACTAAATACAACACAATACAATACAATTTAAAATACAGATATATAAACTGATTTACAAGATTGCCGTGCGAGAGTCTGTTTTATAGGGAAAAAATGTTGTCAATCTCCCTTTTAAATTGGTTAAGAGAGCATAATGCTCGTACATTTTGAGGTAACTCATTCCACAACACCGCGCCACTATAACTAAAACTTCGTTTAGCATAATTTGTTCGCGGTTTCGGTACAAATAAAGCATTTTCAGAGTTTCTCAAATTGTATCCTGTGCTATGGAATTCAAATAAATTACGGAGATAATTCGGTGTTAAATCGTTAAGAATTTTGAACATTATTACAGCCTTGTGTTTTTTCCGGCGTGTCGAAAGATTGTCCCAACCTAGTTTAGTGAAAAGGTCGCTGGAACTTGCATCGTATCCAGATTTGGTAATTACCCTCGCTGCTCTATTTTGCAGTTTTTGCAATTTATCATTTAACGTGATATTTAAACCATCCCAAACTGAACTACAATAATCAAAATACGGTTGAATCAAAGCTCCGTAAATTTTGAGGGCAGTGCTTGTATCTATGAACTGGCGTATCCTTTTAAGAGCACCAATTGCCGACGCAACCTTTTTGGAAATGCCTTCAACGTGTCGCGCCCATACTAGGTGCTCATCAATTTGTAATCCTAATGATTTCGTATCTTTAACTCTCTTGATTATCTTCCCGTCAATTTCAATGTTTATTTGTTCATTATTGTGTATCATTAACCGTTGACGAGATCCAATTATCATAAATTCCGTTTTAGCGACATTTAGACTCAGTTTGTTAGCTATGAGCCATTGATTAAGATTTTTCAATTCAGAGTTAATTATTGATTCAAGCTCTGTTACAGATTTTGCCGCAATACTTATATTGGTATCATCAGCAAACATTCTCGGAGAGGCTCTTTCCAGACAATTAGGCAAATCGTTAATGTAAATTAAAAACAATAGTGGCCCCAAGTTGCTACCTTGAGGCACACCACAACTTATTTTAACAGCCTCAGATAATTCACCATTTACGCAACATCTTTGGCCACGGTTGCTTAGATATGATTCAAAGAGTTTGATGCCGCTTTGGTCAACACCATATATTCTTAACTTCCGTAAGAGAATGGTGTGATCAATGGTATCAAATGCTTTTTTGAGGTCGATAAAGACCACTCCATTGAGTAGGCCATTATCTATGTTGATTGACCATTTGTCCGTTGCTTCTAATAAGGCAGTTAATGTACTGTGCAATGATCGAAAACCGGATTGAATTTTGGATATCAAATTATTAGCATTTAAATACTCATATAGCTGATCAAAAATCAGTTTTTCAAAAATCTTAGCAACACATGAAATTACGGATATTGGTCGATAGTTGTCCATATCATCTTTTCTACCTTTCTTAAAAATCGGCGTAACTCTTGCTAACTTCCATTCCGTTGGGAATATGCCAGTAGTTATAATCTTATCAAATATTAGAGTTAATGATGGGGCAACGATTTCAGCTGCAAGTTTTAAAAGTTTGCAGGGTATTTTATCCAGACCTGATGCTTTCTTTTCGTTAATCGTTCTTAATTTACTACAAACTGTATTTATTGTGGGGGGTGTCAATGAGAATGTGGTTTCAGTTGGCTCAATATAAACCTCCGGTTCCACAGCAGATGGTGGTATATCAGATGCTAAATTCTCACCTACTTTTGCAAAGTGAGAATTAAACATTTCGGCTATGTCCTTAGGCGCATTTATTGTTTCTTCGCCAATTGTAATATTGATATGGTCTTATGACTAGAATTATTCGAGAGCTTAATTCATTAATAAGTTTCCAAGTTGACTTTGGATTGTTCTGGTTGGTCTCAAGGTTATCAGTAAAGTATTGACTTTTCACTTTTTTAATTTCATTATTCGTAGAGTTCCTTAATGATTTATATTGTTGCCAAATCAATGTGTCTCCAGTCATTTTTGCTTTCTTTTTCAAAAAATCTCTCTGGCGCATTTTTTGTTTTAATTGATTAGTTATCCAAGGGGATTTCTTTTTCCCAATTCTTTTTAATCTGAGTGGAGCATGTTTATCAATGCAATTAAGTAACATCCCTTTCCATCTTACCCACATTTCATTAGGTTCATTGCACAAATTTAATTCT